GGGACACAGCTCATGTCTCTGGTCCACAGTGACCAGCGTCTGCAGTGTACAATGAGTTCGTGACCAAGCATATTGTTAAAATGGCCAAAGCATAGGTAATACATGAGTGATAATGACTAATAGCAAATATATGTGATTATCTCACAGTCTAACATGCCTTTGTCTCATACTTTTCCACGGTACATTTGGTTCTTTTTTAGGATCTCAAAGACTAGAGTGACAGGGCAGGTGTGTGCATGGGCAATATGGCTATATGCTATAGGAAGAGATTTAAACTAGCACCACATTGCCTTCCTTGGCAACTGGGAGGAGCAGAGCCATAGTAGTGTGGAGATCCCTGAAGGCAAGCATAAACTACTCCTTATCTCTGCTGACTAGCCTAGACAGAGAATTGTACTAATACAACTCTATTACTCTGGGTATCTTGAGTAGCTTGACTTTGCTTACATGCTTCTTGGCTGTGTTCAGAGCTGCAGATATATCCTGGGATATAATCTGCATTCACGTAATGCAAAAGATCAGTAGCACTGCCAGGTGAGAGTCCCAAAAGCACGCTGCATATCTGCCATTGCATCTTAGTGATATTTAACCACTGCATCCTGCAGATATCAGATCTGCATAGGATCCTCCTGAATTCCAGTTGGACAAGGCTTGAGCTGTGCAGGGGATCATCAGAGCTGAGTCCTAGGTAGCCTCTACCACTGTAGAAAGCTGCTGGCTTCCAACAGCCAGGACATGGCAAGGAGGACTTATGACCTCTAAGTGCGACCATACAAAGCTTAGTTGTCTCTTCATGGCAGAAGACAGGAGGTTTCTTCGCCATCATCCCTACTCTGTACCTGGACTTCCAGATCTTGTGACATTCTAGGCCACTTGCCTTGAAGGGGAGCCCAAAGCGCATGACTAAATGTGACCTCCTCCCTGCGCAAAGCGCATTCAGTGACTGACTTATGTGCTTACTACAGACAACAGAGACAAGGATTGATGGACTCCTGTTCATTTGGAGATGGAGGGCCTTATATGAAAAGTGTCAGCATGCTGACTCATGGTACTCTGACATACATTTGCAGGGGAAGATTCATCACGGCTTACTTGTTTTTCCATCTGCATAGTCTTATAGGCAGACCTTAAGATGCTCAAGAGAGCCTGAACATGACCTTTGTTTCTCTCGCTCTGCTGACATAACTAGTGGGAAAAGGTGTTTAGCAGCATGGAATCCATTTTGCTTGAAGACATTGGACAGTGAGTTAAGCATAAATAAATGCAAATCTTGATTCAGTAACATCAACATCTATGAAAACACTTGTCCTGGTTTCGGCAGGGATAGAGTTAATTTCCTTCCTAGTAGCTGGTACAGTGCTGTGTTTTGGATTTAGGATGAGAACAATGTCGATAACACACCGATGTTTTAGTTGTTGCTAAGCAGTGTTTGCACTAGTCAAGGACTTTCCAGCTTCCCATGCTCTACCGACTGAGAAGGCTGGAGGTTCACAAGAAGCTGGGAGGGGGCACAGCCAGGACAGCTGACCCCAACTGGCCAAAGGGATATTCCACACCATGTGACATCATGCTCAGTATATAAAGCTGGGGGAAGAAGAAGGAAGGGGGGGACATTTGGAGTGATGGTGTTTGTCTTCCCAAGTCACCGTTATACGTGATGGAGCCCTGCTTTCCTGGAGATGGCTGAACACCTGCCTGCCGATGGGAAGTAGTGAATGAATTCCTTGTTTTGCTTTGCTTGTGTGCACGGCTTTTGCTTTACCTATTAAACTGTTTTTATCTCAACCCACGAGTTTTCTCACTTCTACCCTTCTGATTCTCTCCCCCATCCCACTGGGGGGGAGTGAGTGAGCGGCTGTGTGGTGCTCAGTTGCCAACTGAGGTTAAACCACGACAACACTGTAGCCCTGGTGAAGATTTCAGCTGCAAATGGCTTCCTGTAGAGACCACAGAGAAATTAACTAGTGAGTTGATGATCCAGATAGCTGGAAAATAATCTAAAACTCAAAAATAATTGTTTCATCAGTGGCTTCCTGAAAATAAGCAATTATTTACTATGAATAGATACATATTTGTCTTCTAGCATTCCACAGGTCCAAATGATTTCTGGTACATCGTTTCTACATTGAAAATAGCTCAAACACCATCACAGCCGTTTTTTGTTGTTTTCCCCCCAGGAAAAAAAAATCAAAGACTTGAAAAGACAGAAACTGACCCCCATGCTCATTTCCACTAAGCACATCACAGAATAAAGAGGAAGCACATACGTGGGGAACAATTCATCATCACTTCAATTTGAGCCGTGACTTACAGCATCATGGTTCACTGACAACCCTGGCCACTAGCTATTACTGGTTGTTCATTCCAACGAAGGTGGCGGATCATGGTCAGAGATAAGAAACGTTGGGCAACTACTTCCAGTTTCTTAGAGGTTGGTTTACGCCCTGGAATCTGAAGCTTAAGTCTTTTAGAGCTGGTTTTTTTTTTTTAATCCTTAGTATTGTAGCTCTAGGCATTCCCCATCCATCTCCAAACCTTTCTGGCATCATTCTAAACCCTTTTCTTCAGACAGGAGTTTTACACTCTGGCCTTAAAATGCAAGTATGGATTATGCACTCATTATACTTGCGAACACAAGCAGGATCAGCCCTTGTAAGTATTTGGATAAGGGACAGCCTTTGAAAGCCCAATATCCTATGGGAAATGCTATGGCTGATTCACCAGGTGCCAATATTCTGTCTGGTAATTCACAATTGGTACTCTTCCAATTAGCAGTAGGAGACATAACCGCTAATACCGCCAGCTGCTACCTGGACTGCCTTTCTTATCTACTGTCTTTTTTCTTTTCCTATCCTGTTTGTCCTCTTGTATCTTTTGAGAGTTATTCTGCAACAAGACGACATTAAAACACTCAATTAACATAAACCGATGCAGTCACAAAAAGGGCAAGTAGCCTACCCTAGAGATAAGGCAAGGAAACAACAAACTGAAGAAGGAAGGCAGGAGTTTTGCTGGATAGAAAGCATTCTGGGCGTGAGGAGGAAGGTCTGAGCTGGCTACCTGGACTGCCTTTCTTATCTACTGTCTTTTTCTTTTCCTATCCTGTTTGTCCTCTTGTATCTTTTGAGAGTTATTCTGCAACAAGACGACATTAAAACACTCAATTAACATAAACCGATGCAGTCACAAAAAGGGCAAGTAGCCTACCCTAGAGATAAGGCAAGGAAACAACAAACTGAAGAAGGAAGGCAGGAGTTTTGCTGGATAGAAAGCATTCTGGGCGTGAGGAGGAAGGTCTGAGCTAGCAGAGTGGCTGTTCTCTCTCCTGGGGGCTGGCTTATTAGGGGGACACAGGGGTATGCATGCTTCTCAAGGCACAGGCGAGTAGGTTGAATCGTGACCTTCAGCACATGCCAGCTAGGAAGAAAGGTGTAGCTCCTGCGGGGCACGCTGCCATTTATTCGATCCCACTAATTTCCGAGGATGATCAGCCCCCGCGCAGGTGCCGGTGTGCAGGCCCGACTTCTTGCATCCCGCCCCGCGTGGCCCCGCAGGCGGGAGAAAGGGGCTGCCCTGCAGCAGGACTGCAGCGAGAGATGCGCCGGGCTGGCGTGGCTGAGGAAGAGGAATCCAGCCCCGCA